TGAGCATCCAGTGTTGATGTGAAATAAACACAAAATGACAGCAGGTAAGAGATTCTAACATCAATTTATTAATATTAACCTATTCACAAATCAATCATTCTTTTGAACCAATTTTTTAACAATTTTGTCTGTAAAGGGTGGATTTGTTTTTGGTTTTGAGATTATTATTTGAGATTATCATTGAACATTTATAAAATTATGAATTTTAATATTCAAAAATGACTGTGTCAATAATTTTGGGAACAACAAGAACGATAACAATGATTTTTGTAATAATATCAGTAATGAACTCAACATATGAAGCCACAATGCTTCATTTAATGACTTTTGGAAACACTTTTTAACACCTCAAAATAATTTTAGAACAGGTTTGCTGCAATGAACAGATTCACCAAAAGGAATCTGACTTCTCATTGCAACTATAAATCAAGTTTCTTCATGCTTTCATTCTCTTTGCTTAAGTTTCATCACTTCTTCCTCAAGTTCAAAAGCTGCTGCAATGCTTAACACATGAAGCCATAACATATTTTTCGATCCAACTCTCTTTTGCTTTCCAGCTGTTCTTTTTCATAGTTAGTCTGGCTTAACTCACTCTATTCAGAGATCAGAAATGCAAGGATCACAACAGTTTGAAACCGGACCACTTTGGCTTAAACGATTATCCTCCAGTACAACGCAAGCTTCCACTATTGTGTAGTTTGGCATTTAATGAATTAGCGTCCACATACACAAACAAAGTCAGAGAAACACTGAAAAGCAGCATGTTCTCACATGCCAACTTCAGAGAAAGGAGAACACTTGATTTGTTGATTTAACAAACAATGCCAAAATCTCTGCTTGCAGATTTCCAGATTCAACCACTGGACTTCTGAACGTACAATTCCAACAGGATTTAAAAGATTAGTTCACTCAATAAAACGATTTACTCAAACTCAGGTCAATCGAAACCTGTAAGGTTTTCTATTTATTTCCCTTAAAAAGACGTCCAGCTCTATTCCATTCAATGAAAGAGCCCATCAAGCTCCAAAAGGACAAAAAAGCATCATAAAACTATCATAAGTGGTCAATTTGACTTGTGCGCCGTATTCCAAGATAGTTTGTGTGAGGAACAGACTGAAATTTAAGTCGTTATTCATTAGAAGTATTGCTTGACATCCTTGGACAGCATTCCCTTTCATTGTATGGAAAACAGCAGCTCAGACATTCTTCTAAACATCTAATTTCAAGTTCCACAGATGCATTTGATGTATTTTTGCCAGATGAACGCATTAACCCAAGTGCTTTTTCACGTAACAACCCAAGTGGTCTGTTTCAGCAAAGAGCAAATGGGGTGGGAGTGAGAACTTGACGCCTCTAGGCCTCTCCTATAAGCATTCCAGTCTACACTTGTATCAAGAATGTCTGGTTGCGTTCTCTTGTTATCACATTTCACCCTCCCAATCTTGTCATTATAAACAGCATTTTTTTCCCCCCTTCAGAGAACTTTGGCTTTGACGGCAGTATTCTAAACTTCAGCTAGGAATCTCTTCATTTCTCAGTGCTATCTCACCTGTCAGAGATGAGGAGAGAGGAGAGGATACACTCAACAGGCTGGCAGGTACGATCTTGTTCTTTCCACCTCACACGCTCTTTTTTTGCTGTAGGTCTAATACTAAGCAGTGACAAAGGAAAGAAAAAAATAAACTTCACTAAAAGGTCATGCTTTATTAAATAATTGATGGATAACATCAAATTCCCAAATCAGTTTAGCCAACACAAAACGAACACCATTAGGCACCATTCCAAGTCACTCAGTCACAGTACTTTTTTATTCAAGGCCTGGTTTATAGTATACTTGCCTAACCATGTCAAAAGCAAGGTCAGAACCACTGTTTCTGAACGTTGTGAAGTACAGGTCTCTGTTTATAGACTCAGAATAAGAATTCGCAAGCTGCGTGTTTAACAAAAACCGTTGGCCATTCTGAGCACAGCTGTTTGCTATTTGTAGCATATACTTGAGCATCTTGTGTGCAAAATGAGATCCAATCCTATTACAATATAAAAAGAATCACATTTGTTAAATGAAGCACATGGCCTCTCATTAGCAGAGAAGCGTTTATTTTCAGTGGCCTTACACTTAGCCCTCCATGTGCGAATGCAAAATGCGGTACTCTGCTAAACTGCCCCCTCATCAAACCTTTTAAGATTTTAGCAGCCTCAAAAAAGACAGTCTCTCCTCAGAAGTGGCTTGTGCTAAAAAGCACAGCACTTAAAAGTAGAGAACGAAGAAAAAACAAGAAGGAGAAAAGGGACATTTTGTGCCCTGAAGGAAAATTGTTCTGATTTGTGCTTGATTCTATTGAGCACTAGAAACCAATGCGGGCTTGTGAGTCACCTGCCATGTAGTCTCAGTCTCATGTTGGACACAAATATGGCTGGTATTAGGGTTGGGCCGATAGACGATGCCATCGTCCATCGCCGATGGCTGATAGACATCACGATGTTGAGCCGGCATCGCGATCCCCCCCCATTCCCCCGCATATCAATACTGTGTTCGGAAAGAAAATGACGTGTAGGCGGAACCCCTAAAGGGAATAAATACGAGATGGGAGGAAAATATATATTTCATTATTTTTCCTCGCAGTTATATAATTGGGTAATTATACTACATATATATTTTGGCATCAGGTAGCCGCTATTATATCTGGCATTTGAATGCATGGTCGCTTTTAGTTTCACTTTCACTTTCGAGATTCGCGATCGCACGTTCTCTGTTTATACTATGGAGCGGCAGTACTTGCCACACATTTTACAAGATTATATGTTTGTCAGTGGTACTGAGGATCTGCAAATCATTCGCCATCGTCCTCAGTCATCTCTGTTTATGTGGTAAGTGAAATTTTATGTCCTGTAGGATGTAACAGGCAACCGTTACACCGTGTCTATGAAAATAAAAAACGAAAGCACGATGCCAGTTTCAATGCCAGGTAAATACCTGGAATTGAAACTGGCATCGTGCTTTTGAATGCACGATCACTTTTAGTTTCACTTTAGTTTCACTTTCACTTTCGAGATTCGCGATCGCACGTACTCTGTGTATATTATGGAGCGGCAGTACTTGCCACACATTTTACAAGATTATATGTTTGTCAGTGGTACTGAGGATCTGCAAATCATTCGCCATCGTCCTCAGTCATCTCTCCTTACTCTGTTTATGTGGTACGTGAAATTTTATGTACTGTAGGATGTAACAGGCAACCGTTACACCGTGTCTACACTGGACGCGACAGTTGTCGTGTCACGCCGCGCCGCATCAGCTAAAGTCTGTCTACACTGGACGCAACAAAGCGACCATTGCCAATCTTTCGAACTTCGTGTCAGTACGTCATTAAGGGCCTGTTTACACCTGGTCACTTCATGCGTTTTTTTTTCTGATCGGATAGCTATTTAATCAGTTTGGTTTACTTGAAGGTGTAGTTCATCAAAAAATACGAATTCTATTAGAAACAGTAGCTCAACAGTTGAGTCGAGCAAGAACAGACATCACTGATTCTCACGTCAAGCAAACAAGTTTGAGCTTCCATTGACCATATTTAATGTGCACTAAATGTACTAAATGCTAATGTGAGCTGGTCAATATCCCTGTGAATAAAAGCCTAAATTTAATCTGTTGTCTATGTCTATGAGCTTTTTGAAGCCTCAAAGTTTTGGTGTAAACTTGGTGAACTTTTAATGGAGGGACAGAATTGTGCATTAACACTAACCAGGAAGTAAACTGAATCTTCTCAAAAATCTTCTCAAACAAAACTGTATATTTTATGTTTTTGGAGTTATGTGTGTAAAATAATCAACACTTGCTACTTTTTATTCAGATCACAGCATCTAAATACACTATAGTGTTGTTATTTGAATAAATGTTAACCACTTCAGATGTTTGCCCCTAAATGACACATAAAAACACCACAAACCATGGTTTAAAACTTTTAAAAGTCAATCAAGCTATCTCTTCCTATTAAAGTGGTTGATTCTCAGGCAGAAAAAGCTGAAAACTGGACCAGACTTGATGTCAATATTCAAAAGTCTAGACAATACAACCTGCCAAACAGAGAGGATCTAGAGTGCCGATTTACAGAATCGATTAGACCTATAAGAGTGATGTTAGCTTCGAATGCTCTGTTGTATTCCAGACTAATGTGTATTTTCTCTGCTCGTACAGCTGCCAGCATAACTACAAGGCAAGCACTGCTGATTTACAAAATGGAAAAAGGAACTCACCATTTCTAGTAGAAGGACAACCACTACTTCACATTTACATTAATAAACCAAAAGCACTTTGAAAAGACACAGAAGTTTGGACATCAGTCTGGCCTTATTCATTCAACTGTTCTTTCCCACAGAGACAAACTTTGCTCTGATGGTCTGGCTTTGAGAAGGTGGAAATAAGCAGTGACTGCCATCATAATACAGATACAGGGGCCCTTGTGAGGGCCCTATAGCTTGAAGCTATGCGGTTATGTTTTAGTATCTCCACTCTTACTCTATAAATGATTTCCCTCAAGGAAAGGTAGAGGTTTGGACTTTCACTCAGGTTAGTCAAAGGCCCTGGAGGTGGCTCAGTTAGCGAACAGACACACCCTCCTTCGAGAGCACTGACTGTCAGTGGCTGATTGCTAGTGACGGTGCACATGATATGCTTTGCTTTTAAGGCCCCGGGGCCCAAGAAATTCAATAAGCGTTGCCAGCTAACAAAAAAGTTGAGAGAAGAACAAAAAAAATGGTAAAATGTTTCATTTGGAACACTATGATTGCTGTATTAATATAATGTAAATGGTTAATGTAATGTCACAAAATGCGAGCCGCTTCATTAGGTAGAATAAAGATGCAGTTAGAGCAGAAAACACCACCTGCTTTTGCAATCAGGACCGCCGTCACCACCACGGGAGCTTTCTAACTCTCAAATCTCTACACGGCCAGAAGAGGTGAGTTACAGCTTTATGCTGAATCAGGAAAGTGTTTTTTACCTTCAACGCAGTGCTCCACCTCCTCCAAGTTGCGGAGAGTAATCCTCATCAGGCTCGAGTTGAGCATCAGTTCGTTCTTGTGGCTCGGCCACATGAACTCAGGGGCCAGGTTGACAAAGAAAATGCGCGTATCTCCGGTGGCCACCTGATTGTCGCAAATATCGGGGTCTCCGAAACCGCCGATCATCACCTTATTTCCTCCGTCCAGCAGCACCTCTCCATTCACCATGGTCTTGCCTTTTAAGTAACGCCATACCCTGACCTTCAAACAGGGGAAAGACAACATGAGATTTAGAAAACACCATTTTCTGCAGATCAAGGTCACTTTCTTGCACATTCCAAAGCGGCCACCTACCGCCAGCTGCATAAGACTCTGCAATCTAACTCTGCACTACACTTACAATGCGTTTCTGATTCATATATGCCTCAGTGGTGGTCCAAAAGCATGAGACCACATTGAAAATATTTAAAACAAAAAGTTATGATGTGAAATGAATAGGAAAGATAAGATTTTAGACTATTCCTAGGTCACATATCAAATTTAAGCAAATACGTGACTCTTGTGAACTGGTCAGATGTCAAATTGCTATGTTTACGATATATTTGTCCATTTTAAAAATGCAAAAATAAGCATTTTTCACTAGTATTAGACTTTAGCGAATAAGCTTTGCAGTGTTATATGAAATGATGGTAGGAAGAGCTGCAATTTCAGATTGCTCTTCTTTTCACACTTTTTATGCCCTAGTGATTAGTTTCTGCAAGACTTTGATATACGTGACCGCATTCAGATACTTCTAACAAAGTAAGCCCATGATTACATGATAATTGCAGATAATTGAACCCGAAGCACTAATAGAGCTTGAAAGGACATCAAGTCACTGCAAAGGCTGTTCAGGTTCCTTGTGTATGAAAGATCAAATTACAGGTGGATCAAAGTAGGACTGTGGACATTTTTCATCAACTGAGCAAAACCAATGTCCACACGTTACAAAAACCCATTAGGACGAGATTTAAACAAGTCCCTTTTATTTACAATTATATGCATTTTATGTGGTTGCAGCTACTTGGTGTTCATGATATATTAGACTCAAAACCCACTGAGTTGCCCATTTAGACAGCATTATACATGTTACCATGATATGCTGCGAGTTTCAGACCAGGTCAACTCAAATATTAGACTGGTAGCTTTCGTCTATATGTCTAACAGGTGATATACATTGCAACACAGCTGCACAGTAACCATTAAAGTATAAGCTTAGACGAAGTACATATTTACCTTTTTTACTTTCACTTTGATGCATTTGAAGAGTGTCTTGGTGCGCAAAGTCTTACCTTGCAGGAATAAGTGTTGTGCACCGGATCCATGTTCAAGATCTCCTCTACAGTCCCAGTTAAAACTATATTCGCCTCTTCTTCTCGCTTTTCCAGCTCCTTTTCTGAACAACTTCCATGACAACGCTGACTCAAAATCACAAAAACAACAGCAAACAACCAAACGGGCCAATAAAACGCCTTTTTGCGAGAAAAGCCCATGGTCAAACCAAACGGATGAAAGAGAAAGTTAGGAACTCTCAAGGCAAACGCCGGACGAGTTATGCAGCAAGTTTGATGTAAATAATAATCCGACCGCGCGCTGCTCTCTGTCTTCTTCAAACTTCACTGCGAGCTGCGCTCATATCTGCGCTGAGTGAACGCGCGAGCATCAGCCGGCAGACAGAGAAGAATAGAGAGAGGAACGAGGAATGCCTCTGCTCACCCCCCTCGTGCGCTCACTCGCTGTCCTTTCAGAATGACGCTCCTTTCACAGGGCATTTGCATGCAATCTGAATTGCTGATAAGAGCGGCGGAGGGGCTGATTTCAAGCGCACTGGAGAGAAGCGGGTGTAAAACGCCACCCCTCGGAGAGATTGTGCCAATTCGGACAAATGAACCGGTCCAGAGGATTACAGATAGAGTGAGTGAAATAAACTTTCAATAGTGATCTTTCATTTAGACTCGTATGAACATACAGAGATGTTCAGTTTGAAGTCTTAAAACCTCTAAAAGAATTAGCGTTTTAAAGCTACTGGTTGATTTATGACATTATGAGTAAATCAAGATTGAATTCTGAGGATAATATTATTATCATGTTTTGTTCTACAACATACATAGTCACACTTCAAAGGTAAACTTTACAGACGCTTAAAAAAAGCCTGCTAACAAAATTCTATTAAAACTACAACGGCACTCGGATTTATCATGCATGTAAACTCACATTATTGTGGTAGTTGTAGTCCATGTGTAGAAACCTATTAGCAACTTACATTTAAAAAA